CCAGTTGAACGGTAATGTTCATTATTATTACCATCAGCTTATCGCGCGTACGAATCGGACCGTAAGTACCGCGGTCGATCCGTGATCGTCGTCGTGACACTATCGCCTTCGAGCGAATAAAATGTACAGTATTATCATTGATTAAATGTACTATATTTAATCAATGGTATTATATTGTGTGCGTGCGCGTATTATTCACGGTTTCGTTTATAAGTCTCGCGAGTGTGCGGGTCCATCTAATGGTTTCTCTCCGATATCGTACCGATTATGTACACGGTATATACCGAATCCTCGTCCTTATACTTGTATCTTTTTTTCTTTCCTTTTTATTCGAGCATAAAACTCGTTTAAGACGCTGCCGCTCAAAAAGCTTTCCAAAAGTGCTGTTTTCGGCGGCCCTAAACTTATCTACGTAAACACCGCGTTTAGTTTTTCTCCATCCTGTCGAGCAAAACACCCTATAATTCAGCGGAGCACTGAAATTACTATCGTGCTACGATAAAAATATATTTAGTACTCGTGCTGCACGGTCGAAATAAGCGAGATTAATTTATGTTTGAGGTTTAGTGTTATCCAGTTCGTTGGAAATTGTACATTTATCATTTGGTTATAGCCACTGCTGTAGTAGACAATTATAATATAACGAAAAGCGCTATTGATTATGCATAAAAAGGGAATGCGAAAAAAATACGAGAACAACGCACGTTTCACTGGTTCGGCGCATAGAAATTCTACTGACACCCGTGAATTTAAGTTGTTAGTGATCGAAAAAGATGATTTTCTTCGGAGTATTTTTAATTTTTCAATTCCCGCTCAAAACTCTATTTTAATATGGTCCTATGGATAGTCTTTTACCGTGTCAATTTCACTATACTACGTGACGTTGCGTTCGGACAACCGTTAGTAATCTGCACCGATAAGGTGACGCGTTGTTCGAAGAGTCGATTTATGATTTTGTTGCAATTCGAGTACTTTGTACTCGTTGTCACATTAAAATTGAAAATTAATAATTTATCTTATTGATATTATTGGACCAATAAATCAAAAACGATGTCCGGCCATTCGTTCTTATCCTTAGCTATCGGATCCTTTTCCGCTAGTACGTCACTAGCTGTTTAAAAATAATATCATTGAATATTTTTTTCAGATGATGTGATAGTCGACCAGATGGTGGATATTTCTTTGTGTTGTTTAAAATTCTAATATTCGCGTAAAAAAAATAAATAAATAAATAAATAATGCTTTGCGAATTAATTTTTGTTGTCAATGTTTAGACACTATTGCGTGTCTAATGTTTTAAACATTTCGTTTTCGATGTACGTGCAACATATTTTGTATACGTGACATTGATGTCGCGTCGAAACGTCGCGCGTCTGGCGCATGCACTACGTGGATCGTTTTACGAATTCGCGACAACGTTCAAAAAACGAGACGAACACTTGGACGGCGGTCGATGATTTTTTGCCGCGCGGCCAAGTGCAGCGGATGCGTGCGTGTACGGCAACCATAGATTATTTCCGATGCCGCGCGCTGTCGAAATCTGAAATACATATGTTTCTTGTTCTTTGTGCTCGACAAAGACGAACGAATATCCACAGCAGTTAAACCGACGTCTGCCGTGCATTATGATGTACATTTATAAAACGGTATGTGTTTTTTTTTTTATTACGCAACGAACGCGTGTCTTAATTGAGCGTTTCGACGCTCGTCCAAGACGCGATCGCTAAATCTCGCGGTACATCATTGTAATCCCTTTGGATGGCGTTTAAGATTCGCCGAGACATTGTTAACTCCTACGACTAGTAGCACACTCGCTTCACACTGTTTCGATTCAGATAACCTAACATTCCAAGAATAATTCTTACAAAAATCTTTTGAGCGATTTCAAATTTTTTACTTTTCATGAATTATCTAACTATAGATACAAGTGCTTTCGCGTAGTATATAATACGCCTCCGTAAAATTTTTCAGATATTTACGTCTCCTCGTCTTGTTTTTCTTTTGTGCGGTGCATTTTTTTTAGTTAACTATTTTATCGTACTTTTCATTCATGATCAACATCGAAACGATCGAACAAAAGAGGTACAGAACACGAGAAAAAATAAAAACCATCCATCGGAATTTCATTATCCTGAGCAAGTCAGATTTTATTTCTAAAGAATTATTTAATAATTTATTTATAATTTATAAAGAGTCCGGCTGTATACAGTATATTATATACACGCATCGTATCGAACTTTACGCGAGAGACTGCGGTGAATTTATTTTCATTCAATTAGGGAACTGACGAAGAAGGTTTCAATTCTATTAAAAAGTACCAATTCACATAACTACATCACTTCCGACAGTAAGTACGTACCAGAAAAATTACCCTTATAAATTATAATATATAATTCGATTCGTGAAACTTTATTCAATGTTCAATTATTATTGATTCTAAGTAAGCAAACTTATTTGGTAAACAATCAAGTTCGTTTCCTTTATTTAAAACGGGTTTTTTTTTTTTTTTTTGATGCTGAGAAAATTCCTTAAAACTTTGGTAAATCTCTCTCTATAGGTGTATGATTGAACTCGTAAACAAATACCTATATAAATTGAAATCTGTGAACAATCCCAAGACGTAGTATTTCGGTGTTATGAAATAGTTAGGAAATAAAACAGGATATGATAGTGTAGTAATGGTTAAAGTGTGTGTTTTGTATGGATGTGTAGGTGTCCCTGATAATTTAATGGGCCCTATATATTCTGCTGAATTCTTCATGTTTTAAAATTCCAGAAAAAATAAATTATCAATAAAAAAAATACTCAACAAATTCCTTGCTTCGTTTAGAATCTAAAACAAAAATAAAAATTTTTCATTGAAACACTGTAGGTACCGAGTGATATAATTGAATCTAGAAATTTGTCAAAGTATTTGGTTATAATTCAAAGCGATATCGGTCATTCGATTTTGTAAAATAGTTCTAAACGGTCAGTACAGTCAAATATATTACAAACTTATATTTTAAATATTTTATACTTCTTGTAAAAAAAATTGTTTATGATTTTGTAAGTTTTCGTTCAACGATTTGAATTTAAACATTTGCTTGATTTTAGAGAATTTTAGAAAACTATAACAAAATTAATACGATAGAAAGTAATACACGAGTAAATCCGTCATTACGATGTGGATACGGGAAAACAGAAATTTGATGAGCGGTGTGCGTGGTGCAATGCCAGAATTCTTCGACTATTGCATCACGGTGTAACTGAATATGATCGATGGAATGCCGGAACACTACACCTTTGAAGCTATGCAAGTCCGCCGTGGGTCGGTCTTGCTTCAGCATCGATTAGGTAGTGAACGATTTTCGGTTCGACTTAAACCATGACCTTTTATACAGGTGGCGAGGCAGCAACGGTAAATCGACAGAAGGATAATTTATACATATATGTTGGGTGTATTTCGTAGACGTAGTGATTAATACTAATCGAATATAACTTTGTTGCTACGATTAAATAAAACAATCGTTTTAATGAGCTCGATATTTTAACTTTTGTCGTTTCACTTTATCTTCTATGTTTGAGTGTATAGACAGAATTTTTTTGGATTACGAATTACTGTAAATTACTTGCGAAAAGTTGAAGTCAGTGAAATCAACTTCGGGTAATTTTCTTTGGCACTTTTATATTAATACATAATTACAGTACACGAAACTATAGTATAATTTAAATGTATAGGACTTATTATTAATGCGCATACTTGTGGTCACTGATTTTTGAATGCGTTAATATTTACAATCAAATAGAACTTTTTTAACGTTGCGAAACCCAAAACAGATGAGAGTTGAAATCAATCAACTCACGTAAAAAAACGCGTTTTGTTCACGTCGTTGAAATAAAAAAACGTCGGTTATGGATATTGCGGCACTACAGTTATTTTTAAATCTATCTATTTTCCATCGTCTTTTTAAACATATAGAATGTTTTGAAACATTTGCTCAAAAGTGTTACGCTGTACACGAATTCGACGGAAACCACTTATAGGAGTAATACGATTTTTATGCACTCTATGTACAATATCCAATCGGAACGGCAACAACTTATACCGCACACAGTATTACACACGAATAATATCGTTGTGTACGTAGTTCACATTTTAACAAGTGGCAGCTCGTCAGGGGAGTCTTTGAGACGGCGATTCCCCATAAAAAAAAAGTAGTAACACAATAAAAAAGTTTGAAGAAAATTGTATTATAATTTAATATTTTTATCCATTTTGAAAAGAATTATTATGGTTTTCAATATCAATATCGATAATATAATATTTTATATTCTATTTTTACAATAATAATGAGAAGACGGCTGTTATTCAATAATAATACGAGCGAAATATATCGATAACTATGACGGTCGCTAGTTCGGGAGTCTGCCGTTCGAGAGACTCAATTCTGTATACAAATTTCATATGCACGACAAGGCGGAGGACGGAGATAGATTGTATAGATTTTATTCAGTACATTGAGACTATACTTATTCAAATTTTCTGCCGTTCGCATCGCAGTCGTCACATATTTTTCTGTGAACACGAAAATTGCAGCGTGTCGTGCGTCCGTATTAGACCATTTAATTGAACTATTCGACATTGTATCGCCGTGTATAATAATTTTATTTTTATTATTTATTATTGGTATCATACACAAGACACAAACGTTAATCATTATAATATAATAAATTACATTAGAAATATAATATGTCTTCATTATATTTTCTACAATGGAAATACAGAAAAAAAAACATATGTACTAGACTTTTTTTTTTAAAAATAGTTTTAATACGTTAACATACGTAGAAAAGTGTCAATTAAAATCAGACAGACCGACACTTAACATCGCATTGGAATATAAAGAAGGTAAATTCATAAGAAAATTCCAGTATAGTTGGTATAATAAATTTACTTGGCTAACTAGAAGTGATAAGCTAAATAAAGTGTTTTGTTTTTATTGCGTAATTTTTGGGAGAGAAAAAGAATGGACTCTTAATGGAATATCGTCAATAAAAAATTTTATAAGAAAATCAGAAAAACATTCTATATCTAAAAAATATTTGATAAATCAAGAAAAATTCCATCTTTTGGGAAAAGTTCGAATTGAACATGTTATTTCGGAAGGCCGACGATTAACTGTTATAAAACATAATGAACAATTTTCTATAAATAAACGTTTAATTGAACGTATGATCCACGTTGTTTGTTTTTTGAGAAAACAAGAGCTTGCCTTTCGTGGGCATCAGGAACAAGACGAATCTTTAAATAAAGGCAATTATCTTGAGTTACTTGATCTACTCGCTCAAGAAGAGCATTTACTTAAGGATCACTTTTTGTCATCATCAATATTTAAAAGCACATCTAAGATAATACAAAATGATTTGATTGAAAGTGTCACTACAATTTTAAATTCAAAAATTTTTAAAGAAGTACAAACTGCTAATTATATATCTATTCAAGCAAATGAAACCACTGATGTGTTCTGTCGATCTCAAATGAGCATCATTTTTCGTTATGTTATAGAAGAAAAAGTTGTCGAACGATTTATTGGTTTTTTGATGTTTCAAATGATAAAACGAATCGAAAAGATCTAGATTAGCAGATGTAATATTGTTTGTGATTAAAAAATGGGGAAAAAAGGGATTAAAATAATTGCACAGACATACGATGAAACATCAGTTATGTTAGAAGCAAAAAATGGCGTACAAAGTCTTATTAAGAAAATTTATCCGAATGTATTATTTATTCATTGCTATGCTCATCAGTTGAACTTGATATTGTTATATGGCGCTAAGACTATAAAACCAGTCAAACTTCTTATTTGTTATTTAACGATGTTCCATACGTTTTTTAGTAGGTTTTCTAAAAGGAGCGAATTACTAAGAGAACAGGGCTTTAAACTTCCAAATCATTCTGATACTAGGTTATCATTCAAGAGCCGCTTCCACAGTTAAAACCCATTTCATGAAATTAAAAAATGCTTTTATACATGTAATTGAAGAACCAAACTGGAACCATATTTCTATTTCTATAGCATCAGGTATTTTAGACAAACTTAATGATGCACAATTTGTGTATCTGTTAATTTTGTTTAATAAGATTTTCATATATAAGGATTATGTATTTAATTTCCTCCAATCAAAAATACTTTCAAACATTAAATCGTGCATTTCTGAAATTCAGAATTTAAAAAAAAATTTGGAAGATTTAAGAAAAGAACAAACTGTGAATATTTGTTGTGACGAAGCAATACAATTAAATAACGATTTTTGAGTGTTGTGATAAACAAAGAAATAACTTACGTAAAATAACATAAGAGATACTGGATTCATTAATTGTCCAAATTAATATAAGATTTGAAGATTTTTCGGAATTATAATTCGTAGAGCTTACAAATGAAAAAAATGTTTAATATCTACCACAACACTTTTCTCGAATGCAAGTTGATTAAGTTATTAAAACAATACCCTAATATGTTTAAAGAAAATCGTTTGCGTAATTAATTGTCCGTCATTTATTCAGACAATAAGAAACATCTTCCTCCTTATAAACTACTAAATTTAATAATAAAAATAATTTACAAGAAATTTATTACCAGTTCACTAAACTATGTCAATTAGTTTTAATAATACTCGCCATTACTGCATATAGTGAACGTTCCATGAGTACGTTAAAGCGCATAAAGAGCCTTTTAAGAAACACAATGACAAACGAGCGACTTACAAAATTATCATCTTTGGCAATTGAAAAAAAAATTACTAAACGTTATGGCAAAGGATCCAACATTCGTGGAAAATATTATTGATGGTTTTGCGAAGAAAAAAGAAAGAAGAATTGAATTAGAATATAAAATAATATAAATTATCTATTCTTACAATTATAAAGATATTACAATTATAATAATAAAAAAAGATTTTTTTTTTTTTTATAATTTTTGCATTAATTTTTTTTTTATTAAATGTTCAGTCTCTCCAATGAATTAACTTTCGAGCCGCCACTGATTTTAACCATCATAAAAACGTCTCAAAGTTTAATTATAATAATGTTCAAAAAGATATCATCAAATAGTTTATTCTTTTTAAAATATTAGCGGAGACATGCGATTACGTAGCAGTTGATTAATAGGTGTAATACGTGTATACGCAGAGGGAAAAAATACGAAAAAAAGTTCTGGCCACAGCGACCGGTCGGTTAATTAAATCATTTTGAAATTGAAAAGTTTATTCCGAATAAAAGAGCGGGGAAAAAATAAAGAAAGAGAGAAAAATATTTCGTACGTTTGCATAACAAGAATTCAATGATATTCGCTGTGCCGGGCCACGGCCAATCCGCAACAAGGAACTGCATGATTATTATAATATATATATATATGTATATATATATTATTATAGGGTTACGAGCGGAAAACTTTGAAAAATACGATCGTCGAAGTTTTGACGATCGAGCGGGCGGGTACGTGCACCCATGTACGATATAAATCGTATGCAAAGCACACGACGTTCGGAGCTTTCCACTCGGACTAAAGTGCTCCAGAGAGTCAGCCGCGCAGTAAATTTTCCTTGTACACTATTCGCGGCACGGACATTATTCCGAAATCCCTGCCCCGTCGACCGGCATATTAAAATATTAACGCACAGCCGAACCCGATGTTTAAACGGACAACCGAACAATGTGTTCATAACTCGAACAAAAATAATACGAACGCGTTGCGGCGGAATAATGTAAGTGCGCGTGATTTCCGGGACGAGTGTAACGCGGTTGTGTGTTGACCCGAAAATAGGGTATCGTCGTTTCGTTGGCGAAATGCATGTAATGTCGCAATGGTTTCGTGACGTTGGTTTTTTTTTCTTATTCTTTTATCGAGCTAATATATGTGCGTTTCAAGCAGTAAATCATGTGCACGAAAGTTTGCCGCAATGTCTTATTTAATTAGAAGTAGGTACTTTAAATAAGTCGCTTTTCTCGGTACTAGGTATCCGACGTGAAAGATAAAGTTGAAAAAACGTCCAAAAACTGTTTTTTTTTAATAATAAGTTGCCTCCAGCCGTGTTTTTTTTTTTTTAATTTAAAATAGAATAAATGATTTTGTTCTCGTAATCAAATAATCGGCGAACGCTCGGGACCTACGGCAAATCAGATTTATTTTTCATTTCAGACTCGTGGATGATGACATTCGAATGTGGTACCTACGTGGACCATTTCTTTTTCGTTCCAGTGGGTTTGCTGCGAAACAAACTATACGGAACAAAGCGTGCGGCGGCCGGAGGAGGAGAAGGACTGTGTTCGTTTTCTTTCCTCCCACAAATTTAATCCCAAGCCGACGCGAACGGTGATGGTCAATCGTTTCACGGAAGGACCGAAAGGATATAGAAATCTGATTGCCGGAAGAAACACCCTCGCGCCCAAATCCGGAACAAAGGCTTTCGATCCTATTATGCACGTACCTTATCGGCCGTCCCGTAACTGCCGGGAACGATATGATTTATACGTCTCGACTCTAACCGGAAAAGGTCGGCCGCGATAAAAGCAGAGACGCAGCCAATGTTCCGGCGGTTTCACTCGATTCCGCTATACACATTTATGATAATATCACAATTGCAGAGAAATCGTAATCGTTACGCCGTGGTTTCGCGTCACGTTTCGGTCACACCCGCGTTTACAGAGTTCATGCGGTGCGTACCGTGTACGGGCAGGGCCGGTGAGAACTTGAGGTCCCCGGCGTTTTTTGATTCCAGTGATTGATACACTTGTTTGGCCAAGATATAAACGGGTACTACTTGTACGTGATTTAGTACAGTAAAAATATTCAAATTTGCATCTTATACTTAAACGGCGAATGAGATCGTAAGACAATTTTGAATGAAAGGCTGAGACGACGGGTCTTCTCGGAGGTACGGACCCTGGGACTTTAGCAGTCTCTAACCTACCCCACCTTCACGCCGACCCAGTGTACAGGATAAGATCGCGTGCAAATACGACCGTGCATGAGTATGTCGCAGATGTTTGAACGCGCCAACGGACGCGGTATTGTGCGGCCACGTGCTTTACATATCGTATTGGTTTCGTCCGGTGTACCGACTCGATTTTTATACGTACTAAATTCTGATTTTATTGAACCGTTTCATGGTATATGTTAACAGACGAATTTTGCATGGTTGATAGGCGAAGACGATTTCATCTTTGTTATGGTGCAATAAGTGGTTGTAGAATTTTTTTTTTTTGTGGTGTGCGTTATTCCGCTTGTAGTGATCTTCTCTTGAACTTTTAATTGTACCGTGTACAGCTTTTAAAGCAATATCGAATGAGTTGTCATGAAATGGTCAAAAAACTTATAAACTTATTAAGTCATTAACAGCCAGAGCTTAACTTGAGAGGGGACGCAGAGGGACGGAGTACCCCAACTAATTTTCAGAAATGCTAGCGTTCCCTCTACTATTATTACGTTATAGTTATAACGCTTAACAAGTTTTGGAGATGCTTTTTTTTTTTTTTTAAAGTAAATAGAGTCCCTCTTCTTTTATTTTGTCAAATCGAGCATTGTTAACAGCTTCAAAACATAATGTATGTGACGTTTTTTATAAGTATAATATGACATACGTTATTTATTACCGTGATCGTTTTCCGCCATAAGGTATATTCGATATCCGCAAACAATTTTATTTTAGAATTATAAACCTTTATAATACCTATCATTATTATTGAATTTATTTTCAATGTGGAACATTGTAGGCATAGACGAATTCTGAAAATTATTTATTAATGATCACTTAAATTAATATAATAAATCTAGATTTGAACCGAATTAAGTTTCAATGAACATAATTAATTATAATTACATTTTATCGATAATAACTACGAAAAATTAATAATCCCATGTCGCCAGATTCAGATTCTCAAATACCTGAGTTTCCCGATAAAATTAATAATGAAATCATTATTTAGTAAAAATGTTCAAATACACAGGTAAAAAAAAAAAAAAAAACTAAAATCTTAAGGGGCTATTAAACAATATTTTTTCCCTAACTTTTACAATTTAATAAGAATTTATGTATATTTTATGTAAATTTATATTAAAATACCTATAGTATATGTACTTATAATAATTATCTAATAGTAATATATCCTAAAATAGGTAGGCATATGGTATATTTTTTAATGTATTTATTCACATCGATAACCTAACTGCTTATGGCCTATTATAACTATATATAATAATAACAATTTGTAACCGCCTCATGTTGATTGGTTATAGTGTGTCTAAAGAAACCATACCCTGATATCTGTATGGACGATGAATATTTAAATGCTAATGTAGATAATCAAGGTCCAGAGAAAATTAATTTAACAGCTGTACTGAATTCTCATGACAAAACAAGTACCTATGTAACTATGAATATTTTATCCTATAATTTTAAATTCACGTAAATAAGATATTGATACTTATAAAATACGTAAATGGTTAGAGTTTAATAAAGACTCTACAAATAAATTTGATTACTTGGTAAACTAGTTTTATGCAAACAGAATTAACAAAGGTGATTTGAATGTAGAGTATGAATTGTTTGCTTCTAATTACAAAAAATGTTGTATTAAC